CACCAGCTGCCAGCGCCAGGCATGTGGTCGTGGTTTAAGCCCAGCCGGTAACCCGGCACCACGCAACCGCTCGCTTGCCTCCCTCTTAACTCTCCTCCCGGCGGGATGCGGAGGAGAATTTAGAGAATGTAAAAGCGTCAGGTTGAGATAAGAACAGTTTAGTAACTAAAGTAAAATATAAAACTACTACTGCTGATGATAATAAGGGAAGTATCGAGGGGAGAGAGTGTAAAACTAAAAAGGGAAAAGAAAAAAAAAAAAACGAAAACAAAACCACAATGAACATGAGTGATGCACAATAAAATTGCTCACCATCTTCCAACTGATCCTCAGCCCGACCCGAGCAGCCGTCTGGGCCTTCCGGGTAACTGCCGCCAGTTTATATACTGGGCATGACGTGCTGTGGTATGGAATACCCCTTTGGCCAGTTTGGGTCAGGTGTCCTGTCTCTGCTTCCTCCCCGCTTTTTGTGCCCCTCCTCATGGGCCGAGCATGAGAGACTGAAAAGTCCTTGGACAGGGTAAGCACTGCTCAGCAGTAGCTAAAACATCCGTGTGTTATCATCATTGTTCTCAGACTGAAGCCAAAACACAGCCCTGTGCCAGCTACTAGGAAGGAGTACAATTAACTGTTACAGCTGAACCCACGGCATGCATGTTCCTTCAGACCATACTGCTGTGGGAGCTGTGCAGAAGCTAAGGTATCCACTTCTGTGCTCCCAGAGATGTTGCACTTTACCTCAGTCAGTATGCAACTCAGCCTGCCTGTGAAGAGAGCACTGTGTGCTCTCACACCAAGTTTAGTGCTTGAGGCTAGGTTAAGCAGCAGTTTTAAACCATCTTAGTGACACAGCGACTTCAAGATCCATTTAATTTGCAACTAGCTAACTTCAAGGCAGCAGCTTCTCTGAAGTCAGTATCAGCAGTAGTTTCACTTACATACACTGATGAAGCCTGCAACACAACATTGTTTTCTACAGTGCAGACTTACCACTGTGTATTATATTGCTTATAATATGCATTTCTTACAGTACAAGTTTTATTTATACCTCTATTTATACTTACATTGCATTTCTCCACAATTCCACCAGTTGTGTTCTTGGTAACTTCTTAGAAATCAACTGCTTATCAAGCATGACCACTTCAGATCAGGCAGTATTTCATGCAACATTTTATTGCAAAAATAATTTAGGATGAGATTTACAGTCAGACCTCTGTAAGGTTAAGCACATTTTACAAGTGTGTTCCATTCTGAATGAAGCTGTTCAAGAATTAAGACAAGAAAATCTGGTCTAACTGTAAATACAGAAGTTCATTGTTATTGGAACCATTAAGTGAAACCAACAAACACAGTAAAAGCTGGAGTAAAGTACTATTGCTTGGTACTTCTATTTATATGCATGCAGAGTGTAGTGACTTTTCAAAGAACACTCCAGACAACTAAACCTACACTAAGCAGAAAATACTCTAACTAATGCTAACTGAGCAATTCCACAAGATGAGATTTTAATCATTTAATGGCTGGACACTTCTGTGAATGATCTTCCAGGTCCTTCTCTTCACTGATGCACTCCCTCCAGGCAGCTCATTTTGCTCCTGCCTGCAGAGACTTCCTTTCATTAGCTGCTTTTTGTTTTTGCTGCATGATTTCAGAGTCTCTGTGAAGACAGAAAGTTGGATTTCAAATCCTGGCTTACTGTGTTTCTAAGCAAGGTCTCCTCCATCTTGTTTTTGCCCTTTAGCAATACCCATTTTAAGAATGGGAAAAACTACCCAGGCCTGAGCACACTGTTTATATATCCCTCGTTTGTTTTTTTTCTTTCAGTACAGTACCGCATGAGGTAACAAGTTACTAGTAGACCTTATGTAATTCTTTTGGGTTTAGAAGTAAAGAACACAATGGATCAAACATCTTCAAGAAAGTATTACACAACCTTTCCCTGTTCATTCCAAGCAAAATGCTGCTCAAAAGAAAGAAAAGCTTTACAGTTCTGTTAAAAAAAAAAAAAAAAAAAAAGTATTTAATAACGGGCACAGTAAAACCCCAGTTCACAGTTTATGCAGTGACATGTGAATGGACTGCAAATCAAAGTATTTAAATGCTGTTTCAGCTAAGACTGGATTCTTTCTGAGCCATTTTCCCTTCAACTTTGCTACATCTCACCTCTGTTTTCTCTGAGAAGCAGACAAGCTATCCTCTTTCCTTTTCCCTTTATGGATCTCCTGAGTCTTCTTCAGGTTCTTTTGGCGGGCAAGTTCACGCTGGTTCCCACCTGTGAGATAATACACAGTTTATACAGGTACTACCACCTCATTTACACACAGTTTGCCTGTCAAGAAGTCTATTATAAAAATGGTAGGGTGTGGCTCTATCTGTAGAGCTGGTATGGCAGTACCTTCCACAGTTTGCAGTATCTTCCACTAGTCACCCCCTTCCAGTGCACAACAGGAAGATAAAGGCTTGTTAGTTCACAGGATTAACATTGCTATAGGTTATGTCCAAGAGATCACCAAGATCCATTCCAACATTCCTTCCAGTAATGCAATGCAGTTTCTCATAAAAGACTGAAAACAGATAATCCCATCAATAACCTGGGCAAAATTACAACAGTAACTTATGCTGTTGAACAAACATGATCACATTTTCCTATGCTCAAAAATGAAAGCTCCACCTCCCCAAAATTTCTGTTGTCCCTCTTTTTCTCTCCAGTGTTAAAACCATGTTTGCCATCTTTCAATCTCAAAGATGGATCTCCCCAGTCATCATGTGCTTGTAATTTCAAGCATATGGAAATAGTTTAGGACAAGGTCAGTATTAAACAGCAACCTGTCGATACAGTTCACTGCTTTGTATTCACCCCATTTGTGAGCCAATAAAGGTACCTATCATGTCAACACATAGGCAAGAGCAACCCTGCAGAAGCAGGTGTTCTGTGCATTCTTCACACCTGTACGTGTACTGTACAGCAACAGAAGCCTGAATGAAAACAGCATGTTATGACTGCTGCCAACCAAGGGCTGCTCCTGCCTTGCAAGATAATCCTCACCTGTGACAGGACACCAAGTACTATCTTTTGAAAAAGCTAAGAAAACTCCTGCTCCATCCTTCTCACTACCACCGAGTGAGATCTTGTCCCCAGATTCCATGTAGAAGGACCACTATTAGTTCAGAAACTAAATCAGCTCGCTATCTTTGGCAACAATTGAGGTGATTAGAACTTGATGACTCATGAGCAGATGATACATTCCAGGCTATAAATGGTTCTTCAGTTTTGTGGTGTTCAGGAGGCAGGAATGTCTATAAACAAGTTAACAGCAATGAAACAGCTCTTCGCTGGTGCTTAAAGAAATGAAGTATCTTTTTAATCATGAAAAAATGGGGGCAGGCAGTCAAACCACACTGCTGTAGCCAGAATTTGCATAGCAGTTACCCTCCACCTTTAACCTCGTATACCTCCTTCCTTTCTAAGCAAGGATTGTGCCTGGTGTCTGCAGTTACCCCATACACATCACTGTTTAAGCCTAGCTAGTAACTCAGCACCACACACTCACTCATCTCCTCCTTCCCCCCTCTTTCTCCAGGTGGGATGGAGAGGAGAATTGAAAGAATGTAAACCCCATGGGTGAAGGTAAGAATAGTCCAATAACTAAAGTACAATATAAAACTACTATGGGAAATAAGGGGAGAGAATATAAACCTTAAAAGGGAAAGAAAAAATTCTTAATAACCAGCAGTGCTGCACAATACAATTGCTCACCACCTGCCGACCGATACCCAGCCCAACCCAAGCAGCGATCTGGGCCTTCTGGGTCACTCCCCCCCGGTTTATATACTGGGCATGACGTGCTGTGGTATGGAATACCCCTTTGGCCAGTTTGGGTCAGGTGTCCTGTCTCTGCTTCCTCCCTGCTTCATGTGCCCCTCCTCACTGGCAGAGCATGAGAGAGTGAAAAGCTCCTGATCAGGGTAAGCGCTGCTCAACAACTAAAACATTCGTGCGCTATCAGCACTGTTCTCAGACTGAAGCTGAAGCACAGCACTGCACCAGCTACTAGGAAAGAGGAAAGTAACTGTTACAGCTGAACCCAGGACAACATGGTAAGACTATAAACTTCAGAACCAAACTGAACAGCATCACTGAAAAACTTGGCTGCCATTTGCAGATCAGAGGAGGTGGAAGAGTAGAACACCACAGTATGCACACACAAGGCATCCAGAACCAAACATCTATTTGAAAAGAGATTGCTTGTATCACCCCTGCTTCCAAGTAAACATTGCCAAGAACTGTTTGGCCCCAGTACTCCACCTGGGATGCTGAATGAGTATCCTTAACTCCAATGTAGACGGTGCTATTTTCTACATTCTGTAACATCAACCTAAATCTTCCATGAAGTTTGGTCCAGTCTGGATAGAACGTCATTCAACCTCCTGTAATGTGAAATTCAAGCACGATCTGCCACATAAAGGCCAGTATGCCCTTCCTGCTTATACCTATGCTTGAGCATCCTCACCCATGCCTGCTTCTGCAAGACATACGCCTTGGTCGAACCAGTCTGTGCTCCTCCAACTCCAAGATTCAGCTGGTCTTGAAGAATAAGCAGAAGAGCTCTGAATAGCGCTGGAATAAGCAGTAATCATCTCTACTGTAAGGAGGTGAAAAAGAATAGCAGGAAGAATTGGCTACTGAGGTCATCATTCCTAGAGGTTTTTTTTTGAGCTGCAAATCACTAATCCTGTGTTAGATCTTACAGCAGAAGAGTGCCTGCCACTGTGTCCCAAAAACAGAAAGCAAAAGTAAATAGAACTGTTTGCTAAAAGAACAAAGCAATAATGGAAGACTAGTGACATAAAACCTCTCCAATTCTTCTAGTCACCCCCATCTTCACAAATTTATTCATTTTCAGGTACCCTGAAATTTGGCAGTGCAACAAGTACCATGAATTTATGAATGCAGAGGCTCAATAATTATTTGTTAATAAGCACTTAATTGTTATTTTACTAAATGTCCATTTGAAATCACAGGGTCTAACCCCGGTCTGATTGATAACAAAGAGCTGAACTCCAGAAACACATACTAAAGCTAAGGTTAGACTGTATGGTAGTACACCACAACTTCTACACCCCTAGTATTGCACATACTGTATTAAAGTAGGTCTTCCACAAGTTAAATGTTATCATCCTGCTATGCTTGGGTGTGCAATGCTGTGCCTCTTTTTAGCATTCAGCCATGTGTATTTTAGGATCATGCAGATCAGGGGGAAAAATACCAACAAAAACCATAAACCTGCCTCTTCCTCACAGTCAAGATTTGATGCGTTAACACAAACTGTTTCTGACCCAGGTCTTTATCTGCACTTCCACCAGTATAGTGGCATTTTAAGTGTGAAAATAAAAGCACCTCCTCTGTTAAACATAAGCAGTTTCTGTATTGCCAAGAACAGTAACGCAGAAGCCAGGCCAGCCACCCCACCAGTCAGAGGAACCAGAACATTCCACGTTTGGTTCACAGTTCTCCACCATTTTAAAGCCGATGTACCAGTGTTACTTTTGAATAAGGTGACGACCAGCAAGTCCTGTTGCCTTTTCAATAACAACCTTCACCACCACCATTTAAGCAATGCAGCATTAAATATTCGGCAGTGACAGGACAGCTCTTTATGGGCACGACTGGACGGTAGCAGGACTGAAATTACTGTTGTTCTAGCGTATCTCCATCCCTCCTCCCCACCCTCCAGCACAGCGACGCCAGGCTCCGGGTTGAGGAGGCGCTTGCTCCAAGCCTAGGACGGCAGCAGGATGCGGGCAGCCCCAGCGGCCGCGCCCTCGCCGCGGGAAGGCTAGGGCCACAAGGCCCGACATCACACCGCGGCCGACCTCCCGAC